ACCACAAAAATCACAATGATACACATTAGCATGCTTATGATGAACAATGGGTGCATGTGTGTGTACATGTGATGAAGAAGAAGCCTTATGAGATGCACAAGAAGGATTAATATTCTTATGTTTTTGTGCATCATAGCAAAATTTAGCTAAATGGCCTCTACGACCGCAAATAGAGCATTTGTAAACTTTGCTATACAAGTGTGCATAGTGTGTAGGTGATTTTGTAGCACTAGACTTAGCACATTTATCCATAAGTTTCTTATGGTTATCAATGCATGTTTTTAAAGTTGAATCTAAGCATGATATACGTTCCTTAACAAGATTCAAATCATCATTATGCACAACATCATTGATAATAGAAGTAGAGCATGTATGGTTATCAAAATCATTTCTAATAGCTACTACTTCTAGCATGACATTATCTCTTTCATGAGTTAACTTAGCAAAGTTTGAAAGCAAAGAATCATGATCCAATTTTAATTTTTCATTGTTTTCTTTAAGGATCATATTTTCATTAGAAATAGTATCAAACTTAGATGCTAACAACTCATGATCGGATTTCAAATCCTCATGCTTGCTTTTTAAATCAATAAAATTTTTATGCAATAAGTTATAGGCATGCAACAATTTTTCACTAGCACACGCAAATTCATCACTAGATAAGTCATTAGTTATTTCAAACTCACAAACCTCACTAGGGCTATCGCCTAGTGGCCGTGTGCATGATGCTCCACATGAACTTGAAGCCGGATCCTCCAAAGCTTGTCGGATCGCCTCCAAGTCCCCTTGATGTGCTTCTATAAATTTCTAAAGTTTGTAAGCACTATCAAAATGAACAAATTTGTTAGACATAGATGAATTAAAAGCATTTAGCAAATATTCTAACAAAATATTGTTCATTGTAAACATACGATGATCATTCTTATTCCATTTGGATTTCTCCAAAGTGGGCACAATATAAGCATCATCTATAATTTCCCATAAATCAAAGTGTTTAGATTGAACAAAAAGTTTAAATCTAACACACCATTGGGCATAGGGGAAATTATCTAATCTAGGAGCAATATTGATGGCATAACCTAAACAATGCATATCCATAATATAAAACGCAAGCAAGATACAAATGTAATAAAAAAAGATTAGCACAAATAAGATAACTTGGATCTTTAACTCAAGGTGGTTAGACCTTAAATCAAAGAGCACCAAACTCTGATACCAATTGTTGGACCCTAGAGGGGGGGGAGGGTGATTAGGGTCTTATGCTAATCTAATCCGATTAAATGCCAATTAAAATTAATTAATAAGTTATCCTAGCAAGTATGAAATACAACAAGATATGTAAGCTAGGATAAGCAATATGAACAACAAAGAGATATATCCTATATGATAAAAATATATATGCAAGGATATATAAACTAACACAAGATAATATATCCTACCAAAAAGATATACAATATGATATATGCAAGGATATATAATTAACACAAGGGTAAACAATCTAACTACAAATGTGATAGGGGCAAAGTATAGGCAATTGGCGATATAAGATGAATGCATAAGCAATTGCGCCAAAGACAAACTCAAACACACTATATGATCACGGAGTTCGGACCTTCCGTCCTACGTCTCCGCTCCCCACTCCCGGGGAGAAATCCACTAACACAATCCGGTTTGGAAGCCGGAACTTCTACACACTCGGTTTACAAGTTCACCGAAAACTCTCACACAACAAATACTATGCAATCACACTCTACACCCACTAAGTGTTGGACCTAGCCGTGTCTCCCTCAAGTGCTCGGTTACAACCTCTCCCTAGGCACGTCAACCGACGCCACTCCTCTTGGATTCGACCCCGTCTCTCACCACACACTTCTCTCGGTGTACAAGTGTATTACAAAGTGTGGGTGTGTGTAACAATGAGATAATATAATCAAATCTAAACTCAATATAAAAACTAGCTTTAAAGAATGATAATCAAATAACTAAGCAAATGTAAAGCTAGATAGAGTTTAGAAAACTTCTCCAATAGATGACAAGATGGAGAGATGGAGATTGGAGCCCAAACAAGAAGATGATCTCCTCCACTTGTGAAAACAATCTTCAAACCAAACAAACATTAAAACACACTTAAATCCTTGTTTAAAACTCTTTAAACTTATTTAAAACATTTCTTGAGTACCCTTAGAAGTATGATGGCATGAAGTATATATAGGCTCATGAAACAAGCCCAAAAACCCAAGAAAACCAAGCAAAAAGACAAAAAAATGGATATATCAAAATCTGGAAAATATAGCCGTTGTGCTACAGTAACCACGTCCAGAGAGTTGGGCGGTCGATTTGCGTATCTGATTTTGTAAAATCAATTAAAAATAGTAAAACAGCTCCAAAAAATATGAAATTTTGTGGGAAGGTTCTAGACATGTAGAATGACATGTTAGAGAAAGAATTTCGGAAAAAGAATTTCCCAGTTGAGAGAAATAAATGTTTGAACACAGATTTACAGTTTCTGAAAAACTGCAGACATATATGATTTTGTAAAATCAATTGGGCATAGTAAATCAACTCCAAAAATAGTAAATTTTTTAGGAAAGTTTATAAACATGTAGATAAGCATGTCAAAGAAAGAATTTCTTGAATATCACTTCCCATTTATAAAAACTCATCTGTTTTATAAAACATGCACGAACATGCACGAACGAAAAACATGATTTTGTAAATTCCATTAAACATAACAAATCAATTCCAAACTTGATGAAACTTTGCAAAATATTTATAAACATGAAAACAAACATGTTACAAAAAGAATTTTCCAATTAACTCATGTATTTTGCAAGTATGTCCAAAACATGAAAACCCAAAACCATGCATGTATATATATAACTATATATATACATAGAAACCAAATACATGTGTGTATATGATATTGAGCTTAAGGTACTTAACACACATAATATAAAACCTAAATTAGATTACCTAAGCCGATCTTGATCTTCAATAAGCTTGACTTGGTACACTTTGTGGATGAAGCTTGAACTTGATCTTTAACTTGAATTGTATGTTGCTTCACTCCACAATTCCGCCAACCTCCATTTGATATCGTCGTTATGGCGCTATTCTATCCATCCTCCAACTCGTTGTTTGTCTATAATAAATAGAAATATACCAATACTAGACAAACAACATTAGTGGTAAATTGTTTGTTAAACATCATCAAAACAAGAAGGCCAACAGAGAGAAGAGAAAGGGGAGAGGAGCAGTTAGAACTAACGCTGGCCAGAACTAACACGCTAAAGTTTAGAACTAACGCGACGTGCGATAGAACTAACATGCCATTGGCTAGATTAATGCTAGAGGGCATAGGTCTAACACGCAGCACAATAGAGCTAACAGCTCAGTCTAACCGCTCTAGGTAAGTTAGAACTCACACGCCAATCCTTTGAAATATCGCGCTGCGTGTTAATTCACTTACACACGCCTGGCTAGAACTAACGAGCCCCTCGCTACAGCTAACACGGTAAATAGTGGTTGTCGAGCCCCCCTCGCTAGAACTAACGCTCTATTTAGTATAGAAATCACACGCAAGGTAAGAGAAATAACACGAGGCACAATAGAACTAATTCTCTATTTAGTATGGTTATGGACCCATTGCAAATCAAATTTAACATTTTTAACAGACCCACTTTTTGAATCAGGTATGGAAAATGTGTTATTATCGCTGTCAAAATAGCTCAGTAGCAGTTCAAGAGTGTGCCGATCAGGCGCAGGAGCACCAAATATAATATAGTGCTCAAACATAGAACCGCCGTAGGCATCCCTATGTCACTGTCGTATCTTCGGGGCAATTCTCTTGATGAAGGCCCAATAGGCCCCGATATTGGCGGTTAACCTTAGTTTTTCGGCCGCACCAGTACGGCCAACTTTTTCCCTGTAAAAAGAATTCGAATTTGTAAGTTCAATAGAACTAACGAACTCATATTAGAACTGACATAATCTACAACTCAGGTCTAGAACTAACATTGGAATCAATCTAGAACAAAGGTCTAGAACTAACATTAGACTCAATCTACGACTAACATTGGACTCGATCTAGAACTCATGTGGACTCAGACTAGAACTAACAGTACTTCTAGAACTAACATTGGAATCAATCTAGAACTAACATTGGACTCAATCTAGAACTCAGGTCTAGAACTAACATTGGAATCAATCTAGAACTAACATTGGACTCAATCTAGAACTAACATAGGAATCAATCTAGAACTAACATTGGACTCAATCTAGAACTCAGGTCTAGAACTAACATTAGACTCAATCTACAACTAACATTGGACTCGATCTAGAACTCATGTGGACTCAGACTAAAACTAACAGTACTAGAACTAAAAGTACAATGGTAAAAACTGACATTTTTTAGATGAACTGAATTTAGGGAGGATTAGGTCGATTTCCCAAATACTGGATAACATAGCACATACTGTTTTTTTTTTTTTTGGGGGGGGGGGGTTCGTTGGTACGACCAGCCCTTGTCGTTCTTCTTTTCCGGTCTCGACATTCTATTGCCTGCTTTTACATTTCCATTAGGGTTTGAGTAGCTTCCTCCGCTGCCAAGCCTAGATGAACCGTCTCGGCCCTTCGACTCGCCTCGGTGAACGACCTCGTAGTCGTTAACGGATCCTTCCCTCGACGATATTTTTCCAGCGAAAACCCTAGAACCGTTGAACACCGACGAGAAATTAGAAAGTTCAAGAGTTTCTGAGGCAACGAAGCGGTGGAAGAGAGAGAAAGAGAGGGAGAGTACTTGAATAAGGATGGGACGCGTTAACCGAGTTCAGCCCCATCAGAGGGGCAATATCGTAATTTCTGTGGGGCTTTTTCTGAAAAAGAGTACTTCGGGGGCTCGTCACAAATACTGTGCGTATTTGGGGCTATTCCACATGGGGCAAAATACAAGGAGGCTTGTCACATGAAGTTCCCACTATTAGGGGCCTGGACACATTTTTCCCTAATTGAAAAGCCATGTATCTCCCTCTCCCTTTTCTTAGATTAACGCAGCGACGGCGCCAATTTCTCCCATTAGGAAAAGGTTTTTTTCCCTGGTGCTTTTTCTTCCATTTTTCATTATTTTCTTAGTTTTTTCCAATAATGAATGCTCTTTTGAATCTCCATCCGGATAGTTTATAATCTAAAAGCGAGATCTTTCGGCAAGCTGCGGATTACTGGTAATTTTTCTAATTTATTCCCCCAGTGTTATTGTTTTCCTGAGACGCATTTGTTTTTGGGTAAAACCCTTGAACCCTAGCAAGCCCTTCTTCTCATTTAGGCGGGAAAGAAGAAATCTTTCATGCCGCCATCTAATTCAAAGGCAGATGTAGCCCACAATAAGACCAAAAGATTAAAGGTTGAGAGAGAAAATGTAGGGTCTTCCTCTAATGGTTGCAGAGATGTTGTTACATCGTCTTTTGATTTTGAGAAACGCCGAGCGTCTTTTGTCCTGAAACAAAAAGAGATTTGGGCTGTAAGGGATGAGTTTGGGATGCCTCGCAGCTATGTGTTTGTTTGGAGCGGCGGGGACATCCACTCGGCCGAGCTGGATGAGTTGAGAAATCGTGATCATTTTGAGAGGTTACGGCTTGGTGGTGGTGTTCCTAGTGCTTGGGGAATATTCGATTCCATTCGTCGTGAACCCCGAGATATACCTGCTTTGTCGCACAAGGTTGAGAAGCCGAAGAACTATAATAAGGTGTTGCCAAGGAAATGTGAGGTTTGGGCCATTAGAGCAGGCAATACTAAAACATTATTCGGAGATCCGAGCCCAACGTTGCTCAGATATCAGATGGTAGAGGCTCTTACGAACTTTGTCGAAAATAAGGGAATGAAGCTTGTGTATTTGGTCTCAATCGCAGGTGTAAATGGCAACCGCTTCAGGAGATATCAGTCTGCGTTCCACGTTCATCCAGATTTCGTTCTAGAACGGTTCTCTCACCAGGTTCCTTGTATGAGAGTTTCTGGGGATGATCTGTTGGAGTTAGATCCTTCATCCTTGCCCCTCTATGTTGATGATTTTGAAACTAGTTTTGCGCCCGAGATCAATGACAATTATCTTTTCTTGGGTCTCCTTGATCGAATGGCATCTACCAATACAGAATTTGGCTATGAAATTTGGGCTGCATTTGATCATGACTGTCGAGTTCCTCAAAAGTATGTTCAGCTCCGGCACAAGAGAAGGTATCATAAAGCAATGCATGAGCTGGTTCCTATTTTCACCTACGACAATGAGAAGAAATGGCAAGAAGCTGGGTTACCTATAGCTTGTGGGAAGTTTACTGTAGAAACTGTGGAAAGTGAGAGACACTTCATTCTCTCTCATCGGCTGTCTACTCGGAAGAGGAACTATGAACATACGGGAGATGTGCACAATATTGATATGTATCCCAAGGAAGGTGAGGTTTGGGGAATTTACAAGGACAGAAATCTGGTAATGGCTTGCAATCCTAGAGGAGCACTATGTTATCTGATTGTGGTGATCGTAGGCACAACAGAAAAAGATGTAACAGTAGCATGCTTAAGCAGAGTTGAGGGATTCAAAGGCCTTTTCAAGAAAAGGAGCAATCTTGCAAGTGGAGCAGAGTTCCTGGTTCCTGTAAATGAATTCCACAGGTTCTCGCACAACATACCATCTTACAGATTTGATGAAAAATGCAGTAATGAATTTTTTAGGGGAGCTTTTGTATTGAATCCTTTTCTAGTGCCACTGAAACATGATGAGCCCTATTCCTTCAATGATCCTTTTCTCGCGCAGATACCAAAAGTCCAGTCAAGTTGGTCTGCTATCCAGTACTTTGTCAATAAACAGCGGGAATCTATTAGCCTGGCCAGTCAAGAGAATAGCTATGAAGACTCAGAAAATTGCACTCTAAGCTTATCAGTAGAACAAGAGCAGATTATCGTAGAGAATTTACGAGAAGGGGAACCATACACTGGTGAGATTTCCCCAGCAGAAGTCCATGAGAGTGAAAGAATGGAATGTGAAACGGATGAACATGAGACAATTCATCATATCAAGTTTCATGATTTTGAGGATAGTAAGTCAGAAAGCGATGTTGAACTAGGTGAGGTGTGGGCATTCTGCAATAGACTAAACGAACTTCCTTTCTCTTACGCTCGCATAGATAAGTTTCTCAATTCAGGAGGAATGTTAGATGTGACACTATTACAACCTCATCCTGTGGCTGATGAGGAGATGCAATGGGTTGAAGCAAATTTACCAATGGCATGTGGGACTTTTAGAGCATCTCAATCCACATGTATTGAGAAAAAGTTACTGTTACACAGAGTGATATGTGCTCATGAGCAGCCATCAAAACTCTTCTTCAGAGTATATCCTAGAATAGGTGAAACTTGGGCAATTTACAATCTCTGGGATATCGACTGGACAATTTCTGATATGAGTACCAATGTCCAATATAAGCTGGTAGAGATTGTGACAGATTTCACTCAGGAAGCAGGTGTTACAGTGGCAGCCTTGGTTAGAGCAGAGGAGCATGATAATGTATTCAGAAGGCAGTTGCATGAAGGCTTTTGGCTGTTTATGACATTTAAAAGAAAAGAACTGTTAAGGTTTTCGCATCGAATTCCTTCTCTTAAAATTACTGGAGACCAAGCTGGGGGATGCACTTCTGGAGGATCCTTTAGGGTCAAGTTCAGTCATAATGGGATCTAAGCTAATGAATTGCAATTTGGAAAAATGAGCTATGATCAATAATATGAAAGGTAGGTATGGGCATGGTATTATTCTTTTTTGGCTCTTTAGTGAAACCTTTCATTTCCCCACTCTTGTTTACTTATCTATGTTTGTTATATGTCTTTGCATGGTTCTTTTTCTGTTAGCTTGTAGTTAGGCTCAACCCGTTACTTGGATTATGCATTCAACTATCACCATATCTGCTATCTACAGTGAGTTAATACTCTTATTTTTAAGAAGATGCATTTAAGTTGAATAAAATGTGTTCAAGAAATTTGTGATGACTTAATTTTCTCTTACATAAATCACGTTTATGGTCCTTTTTCTCCGTACCTAGGTTCAACAACATATGAATACTGAATAGTTTCATTCCAAAATATTCTCCCTCTCATCTATTAGTGAGTTGTATATATCTGTTCGTGGTTCTCTGAGTTGTTGGGGCTTCATACTTTCTGAAATTTACTTCAGTTTTTACTTCTGCTTGCAATTCAACTTTAATTCTTATGTAGCTTCTCTTTAGTTATTAAAAACCTTACATTCCTCTAATGTTGAATATTGGGAGCCATGAGCAGCTGATTCGCTTATGGTGCCTTGGTATTCATTGTAATCAAAATTTATTTTCTTACTCGTGTTATTTCTAAATTCAAAGTTAGAATAACAGTGATAACCATAACTTGAAGACATTCGAGTTAATGATTGTGAATTTGAAATTCATGTTTGTGAATCTCAAGTTCATTGGTCATGGAACTCAAGCTCATGGCTGTAGGCGTCAAAAAATGCTGAGAGATATCCAAACACAGCTCAAAAGGAAGTCATCCAAAATGTCAAAAAGAACACAAGTATAGACTGTCTCGCACGCGAGACAGACTTGACTGTCTCGCCGTGCGAGACAGTCTTTACTGTCTCGCGGGCGAGACAGACTTTTACTGTCTCGCCCACGCGAGACAGACTTTTACTGTCTCGCATATGCGAGACAGTCGTTTACTGGTTCGCCGTGCGAGACATTTAAGTTTATGTCTTCCGCAGTGAGACAGTTCTAGATGTGTCAAAACGCCTTTGTAACCTCGCTTACACGTGGTCATTAACTGCCAAGAACGTTGAAAAACATCGAGTGGGCGAAAATACGTGCGTATAAGTCGCCAAGTAAGCGGTTCGCCAGTTTGAACTGGAAGGCAGTTAAAAGAAAAACTGCCTGACGGGTTACTGTTTTCCGGACGGCGTTTATTGTTCGCGCTGGCGGACAGCAAACACTCATGTTCGGTGCCAGCCGAGAAAGCAAATTCTAGTCTCGCCGAGCTGGTTTTCCAACAAATGCTTATCATAGGGAGTATAATATCCCGAATGGCATTTTGAGGGCAGGGCGACTTGATCATTTATGAGAAATTCAGAGAATCACAGGCAGACAATGAGATGTAGCGCAGAAGTTTGGGAGCTTTTCAGGAATCCTTTGATATTTGCAGTTTCTGATTAGATGTCAAGCAAGAACGACCTATACTTACTTGATAACGATTATCGTTGGCAGTTCTAATTCGCATAAACGAGTCAGAATACATAAACCCCTACAGAATATCGCATCAGAATCTGGTCGATTCTGGATGCTGTCCACGAGTAGTAACGCAAGCCCGGCACAGGCAAAAGGATCCCGACGCAAAGCACTGATCAAACAATCGATCCGTGCTTTTTTTCCAAGAGTTATAACTTTTCATTTTGTTGTTGTAAAGAGTCTTATAAAAAAGGACGTATCTCTTTTTGAATTTATTGTAATCGACTGCAACGATTATAATGAATTCCACAGCAAAACCAACTTTTGACGCAAACAAGCTGGCGACCACAGTGGGAGCCAACGGTCTCGCTGCCGAGACCGTCGTGTCGCAACCAATCATCAAGATCCCGGTTGAATCAACGGTCGAGTACGAATTCGACCAAGCGAAGTTTGAGGAGTATTTGTCATCCTCATCCTCAAAGTCTTCCTCGCCTCACAAATGCAGGAAGATTTTATCTTCTAAGAAGGTTTGCAAGTTTTCGACTCCGTCGAACGCTACAGATGAAGACTCTCGCTTGATTGTTGCTGAGGATTCCACTCGCAACCTCTCTGCTCATAATGACTCTTCTTCAATTAAGGAGTCATTAAATCAAAGCCCGCCGGCACTGACGAAAAGAACTCGTCAGAGACGACGCCAACGTCGCGCTCGTCAATTGGCTAAGGCATTGGAACAAACCGACGGGGTTCGTTATCATGCGGACTTAGAGTCGAGGAGGCATCGAGTGGTTCAGTTGTCTCAACAACCAATCACTCATATCTCTGCCAAACTCACGACGGAGGAATGGACTATTGTCAAAAGGACTCGTTCGACCCTCAAAGAACGCATACAAAAACATCGTACAAACACTGCTCTTGCCCGTGCTCTCTCACAACAAAGACGAGAAAGGGAGAAGGAAACGGTGACCAAAGAACCACCGAAATTCTGCCAAGTTTGGATTCCAAAAACTGGAGTTGTGCAAAATCAGCATTCGGAGCCCGTTAAGACTCCATACCCACAAGGGGGTGGTTCTAAACGTGCGACTCCCGACATAACCTTGGATCGTTCAAAGGCAACAATAAATTGTCTTGAGAATGCCAATAAGGTTTTACACCCTCAGAAGAAGACGCATTTACCAAAAGACATCGTCATACCTGGGAGGTTATGCCAACAAACGATACGATTTTTTGGCAATCATACCGATGAATCGTATTATCAAGTTGGGGGGGTGAATAAATTTCGAAAAAGAATTATTCGCTCTCATTGTTCCTGTGCACGACTTATAAGATCAGCTGTCCAAGATGATGAATTCCCTGAAGTCACCATCAACGTGGCTGATAAAAGAAAGTCTAAGCGGCATTCAAGTGACTCAAATCCCGACTTTTCCCCGAAAGGAAAAGTCAATCCAAGAATTGCTCAAAGGATGTCTCGACTCCAATTAGGAGCCATCAGACACAGAAATTACAAGAGAATGCAAGAAGGAATGTCCTCGAAGGATGAATTCTCGGACACTTATTCTGCAATCGCTTCTGATGATACAATGTCTAGCACGGGACAAACCAGAGAAGTACTCACGATCACATCTGATCAATTTGCTCAGATACTTCAAGAAGCTCTAGCCAAACAACGTGAAGAAATTAGAGCTGAAGTGAAGACAGAAATGAAGTTGGCTATCCAACAAATGAGAGAACTGTTAACTCAACAGCATCAACCTCCTGAGTCCAGTCAGCGAGCTGAATCCAGACGCCACACTCAGAATGTTGTAGATGACAGTGATCCAGAAGTGGATGAAGTCATTATGGCTGATACACCTCCCAATAGCAATAACGCTGGGGGTAGTTTAACACATTCTCCCAATAACGATATTGGGAGTGGTTCAATGGCACCTCTTACAGGGGGTGGTCTAACTCATTCTCCTCAACGTCATTCGAATGAAGACATAGACGATGACGGGAAAATGAAAGAGCTTAAAAACAAAGTCAACGCTTTGATGACGGCTCAAGAAGTGAAGAGGACGGGTATTCCATGTCCCTATCCAAGAGAATGGGATTCAATACCGTATCCGACAAAGTTCAATCTGATTAACTTCACACCGTTTGAGGGGAAGAGTTCGCCGATTCATTCCTCAGTAATTTCTTCGATGATGACACCGAAGTGTCAATCGGGACTCTTCTGGATGAGAAGCAGAAAGATGGAGAGTCAGTCGATAATTTTGTCAAGCGCTTCCGTAACAAGACAATGAATTGCAGAGATCCTGTTACAGAGGAGTTCATCCTGCAAACATGCCACAATAATCTCTCCATCGATGTCCTGGAAGCTCTGGGGGTCGTACCATCCAAAACTTGAAAGGATTTGAAAATGCGCGGTGAACAAGTTGAACATTTTTTTAAAAGGAAGAAAGCTGAGAGAAGCCGACCAACGACATCTGCAACCGCTGGGAATGCGACTTTCGATTCGAGGTTCAAAAAAGAGTATTCTTTCGAAGACGATGAAGCTCCAGCCATATTGGAATACCTCCTCGCCAATGACAAAATCGAGCTACCGCCTATTAAAGATCATTAGGGTGCTAAGATGATTACAGATCCAAACTACTGTGCATATCACAGAAGGATTCTTCATCCCACCGAAATTTGCTTTGGACTCAAAAACAAAATCCAAGCCTTAATTGACTCCGGCGTCATAACGGCGAAAGAGGTCGAGTAAAGACGACCATATTACTCCATTGGGTACACGAGTATAAACTGTTTCCCCTCACTCCGAAAAGTATACGAGTATAAACTGTTCCTTAATACTCCAACAGGTATATGAGTCTAAACTATTTCCTTTCTTTCACGGGAAGTTCCTGGAGAATGCCACGCATGGTACTTTTAAGGATAACCCGATCATATAGCTAAACATAATGATGAACTCAGTTTCGCAAGAAAAAGCTGGGGGTAGATGGTTCATGTAACGGAAGTTCCCGAAAGAATGCTATATGTAATTTTCTAGGAATAACCCGATCATTACAAACAAAGTGTTAAACACTACATCCACACGGTGATTTCCGAATATTCTTTTGCTGAGATGAGATTCGATCACTTCGTTGGATCAATCTTCCCACTCAAACCCTCCTTTGGTCAAACCTTTAAACAGTTAGGACCAAAGCCAAAATCCCCTCTCGATTCGTTCCATGAACGAGAGGTCCACAAATTGAACGATCAAACCTTTAAACAGTTAGGATCGTCTCAAATCCCCATGTTGGTCAAACCTTTAAACAGTTAGGATCAAAGCCAAAATCCCCTTTCGATTCCTTCCATAAACGAAAGGTCCACAAATTGAACGATCAAACCTTTAAACAGTTAGGATCGTCTCAGAACTCCCACTTGGTCAAACCTTACTACAGTTAGGACCAAAACCAAAATCCCCTTTCGATTCCTTCTATGAACGAGAGGTCCACTTTCAGTTGAATAATCAAACCTTATGACAGTTAGGATTATTCAAACCCGTCCAGATTCTCTAAGTGGAGATCCCATTTTGAGTTTCTTTACTCCAGGAGATAGAATATAAAATTCTTCCTCTCCATCAGCGGGTTCATCTCTACCAACAAAAAAGAGACCATACTACTCCAATAGGTACACGAGTCTAAACTGTTTCCCTACCATCACTAGGAAGTTTCTGGAGAATATCACTCAAAATATTCTTAAGAATAACCCAACTACCTCCCAACGGGTATATGAGGTTAAACTATTTCCCGAATACTCCAATGGGTACACGAGTCTAAACTGTTTCCCTACCATCAACAGGAAGTTTCTAGAGAATATCACTCAAAATATTCTTAAGAATAACCTGGCTACCTCCCAACGGGTATACGAGGTTAAACTATTTCCCGAGAACTCCAAAAATACATGAGTATAAACTGTGTTCCTACGAAGACTGATACGATGATTAACAATGCGGTATCAATTTGATGATAAAAGCTGAATTCACAAGTACAAACTCCAGCTTCAATTCAAGATCTCGACAACGGTCAAGCGATGAACACCATGCCGAAAGAATCTTAGCTATTCTACAAAGCACCGAATAGACTGAGAGACAAAGAGATCAAGTGTTGAAGCCATCATAAGTAAGACCTATCTTATCCAAAGCATCCCAGAACTCCTCTATAAAAGATAGAGTCTGGAATACTTTGGAGGGGGTATCTGTAGGCGTCAAAAAATGCTGAGAGATATCCAAACACAGCTCAAAAGGAAGTCATCCAAAATGTCAAAAAGAACACAAGTATAGACTGTCTCGCACGCGAGACAGTCTTTACTGTCTCGCACGCGAGACAGACTTGACTGTCTCGCCGTGCGAGACAGTCTTTACTGTCTCGCCGGGCGAGACAGAGTTTACTGTCTCGCACGTGAGACAGTTCTCAGATGGTCAAAACCGCCTTTGTAACTGCTCTACACGTGTCCATTAACTGCCAAAGAACGTGGAAAACATCGTGGGCGAAAATCACGTGGATAACTGCCAAAATAACGGAGTTTGAAACGTGGGAAGGCAATTAAAAAAGAAAACTGCCTGACGGTTACTGTTTCCGAGACGGCGTTTACTGTCTCGCGGGCCGAGACAGCAAACACTGTCTTGCCCGTCGAGACAGCAAAAGCTGTCTCGCGAACCTGGCAAATACTGTCTCGACAGCCGAGACAGCAAATGCTGTCTCGCGAGCTGGTTTTCCACCAACTGTTCCTAGGGGCTATAAATACCCCACGAAGGCCATTTTTGAGGGGGGCTGATAATTTTGAGCACTTCAGAGCAATCCAGAGCAGAGAGAGAGAGCAGAGTTCTTGAGCTTCAGGCAACTCCTTGATATTCAGGCTTTGACTTGATGTCAAGAAGAACGACTATCTTACCTTGATAAGATATCGTTTCAAGTTCTCACTTCGATAAACGAAGTCAGAATCATAAACCCCTCACGATTCGATCAGAATCTGTGATTTGGTGGTCCACGGGCTAACGCACCCCCGGCACAGGCAAAGATCCCACGCAAGCAGTGATCCAAACAACGATCCTGCGTTTGTTTCCCAAGAGTTGTAATTTTCATTTTGTTGTGTAAAAGAAGTCTTATAAAAAGGCTATCTCTTTTTGAATTTATTGTAATCGACTGAAGATATAATGAATTCCATGACAAAACCAACTTTTGACGCAAACAATGACCATGGATCTCAAGTCTATAGCTACTGAGTTTTGGTCTGGTGCTGTGGAGCTCGAGCGCATGGTCATGAAGCTTGGATCCATGGCCATGATTTAAGACCATAAAATGGTAAGAGAAGATGAGAAAGCGCATGGTCATGAAGCTTGGATCCATGGCCATGATTTAAGACCATAAAATGGTAAGAGAAGATGAGAAAGAAGTGGAACGTAGGAGAGAAGTAAGTTCCCATGATTTAAGACCATAAAATGGTAAGAGAAGATGAGAAAGAAGTGGAACGTAGGAGAGAAGTAAGTTCATAAATACATACAGAAAAGTAACTTTTGTAATGTGTTTGGGGAAAGAATTGGAGAACATGAAGGTATGTACATTGCAAAACGTTCTATTTTCTTTACTGTGATGAGGTCCTTTGTGCAAATAATCATATTTTCAAAGACCAGATGGTGATTGTAGAGTTGTTATTAATGTCGTGAAGGTCTTTGAAAAAAAAGCTTAGTTCATGATAACAAATTAAAACAAAAATAGTGTAGGAAAGTTTTCCGAAGGAAAAAAAACTCCAGGGGAGTTCATTGTACTTTCTTGAAATTTACCCTTTGTTATTTAGAACATCTGTCAGATACAGCTTAACCATACTCTTCGTTCTTAAAGCATGTTTGATATATTTATTTAATTGTTCTATACTAAAGAACATAATTTAGCAGAAAAGATAGTCAGATTATGGGCTTACATAAACTGTGAAATGTTGAGATATGGTCCGATATAGAAGTGAGATATGTTGAACTACTCTATAGAAGATTTATGGGCCAAGGATTTTTCATTTTGCAAATCCGTGAAAATGTATAATAAGTTAAAGTTTCAACATCTGTAAATAATTGTTTGTTATTAGATTGGTAGTTATGTTATGGGCAATGTGTCAGGATCTTTGGATGAACTGACATGTTTATTACATATATGCATTAACATGTTCCTATGCTGTACTCTTTATGAAATTGGCGTGTCGTGTATCCATGTCATTTTGTCATGTGTCCATGCTTCGCAGATGCTATTAAACATTTATAGTTACTTATGGATTTCTATATCATGTCTCATTTTCTCCATGATCCTTTGTTTCATTTTTCTTTATATTTCCTGGCTAGATGGGTAGTTACTGGGTGAATTCTCTGTCACATGTCTAGCAAAAGATGCTGAAGGAATTTCCTCATTTTAATTATGAAAGATGTATGCATTGTGGTGATTTTCTTCTTCTTTAAGTTAAGATGGCCTTTCCATTGCTATACCTTGTTAGCAATCGGATCATTTTGAGAGACCATTAGATGTATGCATTGTGGTGATTTTTTTTCCTTTTAAGTTAAGGTGGTCTTTTCATTGCTATACCTTGTTAGTAATTGGCTCATTTTGAGAGACCATTAGATGCAGATGTTTGTATTGGGTCTTTTACCGTCTTGTGTCCTGAATAATCACTTAGGTGTAGGCTGTCATTTTAGTCGCTCTTATGAGTTTTTATCTTCAAGCAAGGTAGAGCTTAACTAGATTTTGTAGCATGAATATCACAGGACTTGGGGCCTATAAATTCTTTTATTTATGACATCAAAACCAAAGAGGCATCATTTGGGGATTATCTGAGAAACTCAATTTGTATGGGTTGCCCTGCTTCTCATTTGCGAAGCTAATGCTGAGTGCGTATTGTAACAGGATGCAACCGTCTGAAGAGTGAATTCAAAGCAAAATCAAAGAGTTGTGTAATTCCTGAATTCTCATTTTAGCATTTAGCAAATTCAATTGGGAGGATGTGATTGAAATATTTTTGTTTTTCTTGAAGATAGTCTGTTGATTTTAAAAGTGCTACTATCTGTTCATCTATCTGATGTTTTGATTGCTCTGATTACTTTTTTTCTAGTTACTTTTACATTCCGTCTACTCTTCTTTTGATCAGCGTATCTTTTGATTTCAGGATATAAACATTCACCTCAAGCTAAGTCCAACGATGCTATAGATGCCATCAATCTCAGCTTTTGTTCTTATGCAGTGTTGTGAGTGCAGCCGAGCCTGCTCTTATATGTAGATTTCTCTTTGATTGATGGATTATTTGTTTGTAAACTTCATCTTTTTGTTGGTGTATGCTGTATTCTCTTAGGTAGAGAGAGAGAGTCTGATTTTTTGTGGTTAGTTTTGGGTGTAGAAGTTAGATTTTGGTTGTAACTTATTGTTCTCCCTTTTATGTATGTATATTTGGAGTTTGATCTGCATTTGAATTTAGGTGATCATTGAGTCCATTTGATCTACGTGTACTAGTTCAATTCTAAAAATTATATAGAGGATGAATTTTCAAAAAAAATGAAAGAGAGAAGGTAAAATATCTTTTTAAGTAAAAGAAATAAGAGTAGTCCTACCAGGACAAAAAATGGGACAGGTTCAGGGGATAGCTGATGCTGCAGGTATAGTTGTTCAATGAGTCATCAACGAATTGAACAGTATTAATTAGAGCTACGTTGGTACTTAAAACTGTTTATCTCTTCTCACCCATAATCCTAGCACACCCAAAATCCATGTGATTTGATGGCTATCTATTTGTTTGAAAATTTGGTTTTTATCCTTTAACAGGTTTTATCAATGGGTTTGTAAGATTGTGAAAAGTATTTGGTGATTACTTTTACGAAAAGGGGGTGGAGAATTTTGGATCAAAACGAAATTGATTTTTTTGACAACAATCAGATCGAAGTTAATATGAATGGCATTTTTATCGAGGATGATTTGTAAAGGATGAAGGGAAGAAAAAGTAGTTAAAAATATAGAGCGAAATGCAAATGCAAATACAAATACAAATTATCTCAAAAAATGCAAATGACCATAAAAACACTATAAATCAAAGGGTCCATCTTCATCCTAAAAGAGCACTGAGACATGGTGACTTTAAATTTAGAATTTGTTAGAGGTTTTTGGGAGCGGGCTGAGGTTAGGATTAGGGTTGGGCGTGGGCCGGGTCAACCTACAGGCAGACCCAGCCTAGACCACCATGGATTACGACCTGGCACGACCCCTTATGGATTATGACCCGACCTGTCCTATAGTGGCCTGGGCCTGATCCAGCCCATGATATGCTCGTGTCACAGGTCAGGATGGGTCCAGCCCCAAATTCAGGGTTAGAGAAGTAGGCCTGAGCTATGCTAGCTCGGCCTAACACGCCCTGACCAATTATATGTTTTTTGGTTAGGCTGGTTGTTCCTTTAGCCCTTTAAGTCTACAGTTAGCTGCCAACAAAGGCAAAATGTCATAGATATTTGGCCCGTGGGCCTTTATCCTTGGCTCGTGGACTTTTTTTCCCATTGAGAAACAAAGCAACGATCTTTAAGTTTGTTGCTGTCTACTTGGGAGGATTAAAAAGTTTAATTTCACTGTGGATGTAGTACACGATTTCAAATGTGCTATAACCCATGATCTCTGACATTTTTAGTCATTTGAACTCATTGGCAAATACTATTGTGAAGACCAAAATTCAGATCTTGATAGCTATAACTCACAAATTTGGCCAATTTTAGTCATTTGGACCCATTGACAAATAATTTTGTGGGTGTTCAAAATTCATGATATCATGAGCTGTAATCCATAGTATTTGGCCATTTTTAGTCTTTATGACTCATTGACACGTAATTTAGCACATGCTAAAATTAACAATTTCATGTGCCATAACCCATGCGTTTTACCCATTTTATCTATTCTGACCCAATTGGGAAATAATTCTATAGTTGTCGAAATGGATAATTTCAAATAAGCTGTAACAAATGATCTTTTTTGCTTTTAGTCATTGTCAACCTCTTTGCAAATAATTTCATGGAGAATAAAATTCACAAATTCATGAGTTATAAACCATGCATGATTTTTTTGCTATCGTGTGGTCATTTGGACTCACTGGCAAACTAATTTCACGGTGGCCAAAATTCACGATTTCATGTGCAATATCCGTGATTTTTGGCCATTTTTAGTCGTTTGCGCACATCAACAAATAATTTCATGGAGACCAAAGTTCACGATTTTATAAGCTATAAGCCATGATTTTTAGCAATTTTCAGTCATTTGGACTCACTGGCAAATAATTTTGCACTATCTAAAATTCGTGATTTCATGAGTTATAACTCATGGTTTTGGCTTTCTTTTAGTCATTTCCACCACTTAGCCCATAATTTCACGGAGGCTAAAAGATACAATTTTATAGAATATAGCTTGTTAGTTCTAGCGAGTTTTAGTCATTTCAACCTATGGGAAAACAATTTCACGGATGCCAAGATTCACAATTTCAAATGAGTTATGACCCAAGATTTTTTCCACTTTTAGTCATTTCAAGCCGTTGCAAATAATTTTGTGAATTTAAATCTCAAGAGCTATAACCCATGATTTGTTACCCTTTTTTGTCATTTTAACTCATTGACAAATAATTTTGTGGAGGGAAAATTCTTAATTTCTTGAGCTGTAATGTAAAACCCCGTAATACTGAATGTTGTGAGATATAATAATAAACATGTTATATTATGATAAATAATATTTATTGATATTTGAGTATGCTAGGAATTGATTTGAGATCAATCCGATACATATATATGAATATATGAGTGCAAATGCACAAAACATGCACGAGAAAAAATCTGGAAAAAAATGACCAGTTAAGAGTTTATAGATTTTACATAACTATGCACTTAGAATCTAGGAAAACTCAAAATACCAAAGTTGTAGGTATTTTCAACAGCTTTCCAACAATCATATATCACCTTATTCTGAGATCGAACGCGAAAGTTATTGCCAAAATACCGAAGGTTATTTTCCTAGTCAGACTAGGTTTCCTGGTTCGGGTCAAACGGGTTTATTTCGGGTTTGCATATATATATATATATATATATATGAGATTAATGAGTATCCTTGTCATAGGAGGAGATTTCCTCCTATGACGCCTCTAAAATCACATGATTGAGCGACATTGTGGATGATCCGCTCCGTTGAACTTGATCTACATATTCGAAAACCCCAACACACCAAGTTTGGGGTGAACCCGTCGTCGTTTGACCCTTCATCCACTCGTATCAATTTTAACGGTTTTGAATGAATAGAACTTTTCACATGGCTCGATGGAGGGTCAAACGACGACGGATTCACCCCAAACTTGGTGTGTTGGGGTTTTAGAATATGTATATATATATATATACACACTTATGTTTTCACGAAAATTATCACTCTTACATCAGAGTTTCAAACCCTAGTAGTCCTTATTCCTCTTCCTAAAGCCCTAACCCTAAAATTAAGAATTTTAAGAGCTTTGTGAAGCAAATATCGACACAAGGGCAAGATCCTCGACGTGTAGCAAGGAGCAAACGGGTTGTTTGCACTTCTAATTGCTTGCTGGTTATCTCAGAGGCTTAGAACGAAATTTGAGACAAGATTATTTTCATCCAAACCTATCCTCATAGTTAAATAACTAGTGTAGATGATTAATATGATGTTAAATATGTGTTTTCATGCTTTAATCTTAACCTGAGGTGTTAAAAGTCAGATTTTTGATAGTAAACCTTAAAACAAATGCTAGATTAATAATCTTTTCTTGCTGTTTATAATAGTATCATGATCATTATCATTAGGGTTTTTCATAATTTTATTCATATATGAGAAATTTAAGTGATGTACTATACATATGTTTTTCTGCAGAAAACCGCAGCACTTATATAATCTTTAATTGAGAGTTTAAGATAGCAAACAAAGTCCAAATTTAACTAAACTAGTTTTATATGAAAGATATATGCATCTAGTTTCTAAAACAGAAAACCATTCTTAAAAAAGAATTTGTATAGAGAAAGATATGTTATGTTTATTAACAACATGTCCTGCAGAAAAATGACTGCACATATATAATATTTAACTGGAGATTTGGAATAACAAATAAACTCCAAACTAAACAAAACTTATGTCATTTGAAAGATGTGTGAATCTAGTTTTCAAAACAGAAAACCATTTGTAAAAATACTTTTCCTAGAGAAAGATATGCTTGTTTTACTAACAGATATCACATCTATTTTTTCTGCTCGTTTTGTGGAGCTGTGTTGCGCCATTTTGAGGTGCGTTCGCAGAGTTTTGAGCCGCTTGATGTTATACGTATAGTCATAAATATGTTATGTTATACATTTAAGAATTTCAAGGAGATTATGATGAATTTTTATTTGATCATATTTGAATTAGATATAGTTCATATACATGTTGGATGTCGTTGATGAGCACAGCTTAGTACTATATGGGATAGTGCATCGACACACCAGATATACACAGTTTATACATGAGGTGAATATTGTTGATGAGCTCAGTTCAGTACTACATGAGGTGATGCATCGATATTCCACATGTACAGGCCATTGAGTCGGATTTTAGGAGGCTTGTTCTAGCCGTCTGTCCTGTACTAGGGTGCGATGAGGCTCGTGAGCCGTATTTCTAGGATGCCTATTTGGTAGTCCGTCCCGCACTCATGTTATGCACTAAGATCGTGATGAGACTAATGAGCCGTGTACATAGTTTAGGATACCTACAGGGTAGTTCGTTGCACTGAGACAATTACTTGATAGCCTAAGTATGACAGATGCCGATTATAAATACGACCTATCAGAAAGTATACAAAATTATGTGTTGGTATTTTATTCTATCTCTCCAGTGATTGTAGAAGATATTATAAATATGATGTGTTGATATTTATTTCTTTTACTGTCTTTTTTACTTCTTAGTTGGGATCAATGATTAGAGATTCACAATTTGAGACTTATGGTATATACATGAGGGTTTTCTTGTTTGGATTATTTCGCTCGACGTACCAGTCTCGTGTTATGGATTTCTAATTATTGGTTTCATTGGATTGTCTTTTCTTAGTTCGGTATTAATGTTTAGATATCTACAATTTGAGACTTTTGGTATATACATAAGGGTTTCCTTATTTGGATTATTTTGCTCGACGTACTACGTCTCGTGTTGTAGGTTTCTAAATGTTAATCCTACTTAGATACGGGAAAAATGAATCTAGGTAGACTATGCTTAATAGTTAGAGCCTTCACTCCATCTAGTAGCCCTTTCCCTGGGGGCGGATGGAGTTAATCTTGCTGTAGCGCTCTGATGCTCTTGTTGTTATTCTTTTTCTTTTAAATTACTTTTTAGGTAGTTCGGAGTTTCGGAGAGCCGCAGGGTGACGGAGTTCTGGCATAGTCGTCGTCGTGTATTTTTACTTGTA